AAGATCACATAAATGATTACAAATAAGTCTTGAATGACAGAAATAGTGCTAAAGGCCAGTTGTGGTGGTGCACACCTGTCATTCCAGCACTCAGTAGGTAGAGGCAAGAGGATTGTGAGTCTGAGGCAGCTGATGAGACCAGTCTATAAAACATGGGGAGAGGAACAAAAGGAAGAGTTGTAGGAACAAAACTACCCGTTTTTGTCCTTTATAATGTGTTCTTCATTAAAATTATATTAAAGGTGAAGATAAGAGATAAGAATAATTTATCATTTACACATACTTTAATTATAAACCTAAAAATAAATAGCATCTTTTAAAATAAAACATTTGGTAATAGTTTTAGTTTTTCTTAATTTACATTATTTTTTAATTCTATGCAATCCATTTAAATATTCTAAAGATACATTTGTAATTTAACATTTTGACCAAATTAATGTTTTATTTTCTCTCTTTTTTTTCATTTGTCATTGGTTTGTTCTTTAGGAGGATGTGTTTTCAATTATGTGGAAAATGGAATTTCTCCATCTTCATCAAGAAAATATGTACAGGATCAATCCATAAAAGTTCAGTGCTATCCTGGCTACAGTCTTCCAAACAAGGAGAACACAATTGTGTGTACAGAGAGTGGCTGGTCCCCTCCTCCCAAATGCATCCCTGTCAGTAAGTACACTGCTGTGAGAAGCAGATACACTGACCTACAGGAACTGTGTAAGGTGTTTGTAAGTGAATATACAGATTTTTCCATAAATGCACCTATCAATAGTCATTACTCCAGAGTACAATTGAATACTGTATTAAAGTCATAATAACATATACATTGAAATTGCTTAATCATTCAATGGTAAATGGTAATAGAATTAAAAATAAATAGCATGGTAGCCAAGAATATCACTCATCTGTCCATTAAATGATATGACATTTTACAATCATGCTGTTTGTCTCTGAATATCTCTGGGACATGTAACTGGGAGTAGATTTCCTAGACATTGTGCATGCTCTACTTTAGAAGGATTTTTCTAGTGCTGTCCCCTTACACATTTATGTTCACAGTTCATTCCTTTTCTCCATACTTGCTAATGACATCACACTTAAATATTTACAAAATGAATGGCTATAAAATGTTACAGCACTGCAGTGTTAACATACATCTTTTGTTATTAATCAGGTTTAGCACCTACAGCCATAAGTTAATTGGAAGTCACTTGTTTTAATCTGAAATGTGGTTTGATGTTTTTCTTAAAATCTTTTTGGAGATTTTGGTATTTGTTATGGAAATCAGTAATTCTAAGTGTTAACATGGTTCAGTTACATCATTTCAAATGTGTTTTCCACTTCATGGCTTGCATTTTTATTTATTACACAAAGTAGTTGCTCCTATACTATGAAATTATCAATTGTTTTGAAATAATGTTTTTATTCTTTTTAAAATAATACTTCTGGAATCTAGAGTCATTATACCTTTTATTCTAAAAGTCATAATATTTTGTCTTTCTTTTTCATAGCTTTAATTACTCAGATTATATTTTTATACATAATAATAACCAATTTTTATAAAAAGTATGGGAAGTCCCACATATCCATTATCTAATATGCATCTGAATCATATACCATGAGTCTCTATGCCATAACTGTTACTCTGTGTACTCTAGTTTGCAATATTTAGTAAATAATTTTTCAATTCATATCATAAAATCCTCTATCACAGTTGGAGTAAATTTATGAGTATGGTATCTAATCAGGAGTTTTCACCCTAATTTTTTTTGTTAATAGAATCATTTTGGGGAAGGCTGGGCTGTGATCTTCCATATACTTAGGTCACTTTATCAAGTTCCATTGTTTAGATTATGATGGAAATCATGTTGGATCCTTAAAATAGTTTATAGAGAATCCACAACTTTATGATGTTCAGCATTCTTACTTTGGGTGGGGTATATTTCTAATTTTTAGCTATTTTTAAGGCCTGCCAATTGAGTATTACTACAAATTTTTGCTGACAAGAAGCTTTTGGTTTGGTGAGCTCTATTTTTTGTAGTGAAAATGTTTAATAATTATAAGCAGGATGATTGCAAACCAAGAATGATGCCATGTAATCTCTTTATTCTGACATCTTTTTGCAATTTCTCAATTTATCTTGCATTTTTAGAACTTGTAATATTTACTGCACAAAAGAAGAAATGCCCATGAAGGCTTTTCTGATTCACAGGGTTCCAAGTGACCAAAAGTCTGTAGGGGTTCTCGTGAAGGATGGGAAAGAGATTTAAGGATTTGAACACTTTATCTTTTATTCCTCAACATTGAAATTTATTAAAAACAGTCACATACTTCATGATAGATTATCTACTGATATTCAATGACCCTTTAACTATATTTGGAATTTTATTCATCGACTGGCTACTCAAAATGCATAGTGGGTAGACATACTTTCTTTTTCTTTCTATTCAGACAATTCCTGTGTGAATCCACCCAGAGTGAAAAACGCTACTACAATATCAAGACAGATGGACAAATATCCATCTGGTGAGAGAGTACGTTATGAGTGTAAACAACCCTTAGAAATATTTGGGGAAACAGAGGTGATGTGTCTAAATGGCACATGGAGCGAACCACCTCAATGCAAAGGTAAACTATGATCTTCTACAATTTTTGTTAGAGAAGCTAATTAGCATAAAATATGGTGATAAAAATAAACTGGAGTAATTCTTGTCAAAAATGTTTTTGAATGCAAATAAAATGGTATAGCTTAAGGTTTTATTCTCTTTGTGGATTCATCCAGGAAAAATTGTGCATTTTTTTCAAGATAGATTCGGCCAGATTGAAGGGAAAAAGGAACCAAGGGAAGTTCTTCATCTTACTAGTGAAGGCGTTGTTATTTTCTGAGGAATAAGTATATAAAAATACATTATGTACATTTGACAGCCCTAATTTGATGTAGAGCTTGAGATGTGGACTATGTAGTAGAAGATCAATCACAGAATTTGATATAACTTTTGGCATCTTCAGTATATAGAGTATATTGAAGGTATGTGACTGCTGAGATCATCCACTGAATTTCTGTATTGATAAAAATAAGCATGGGTATGTAGTCATGAGGACTCCAATATGGAGATCTCAGGAAATAAGGAAAATTAACAATGGATATAATACTATCCATTTCCAATTTTAATATTAATTTTCACCTGGCATTTTTGTACCTATTTTGTTGTTGTTGAAGAGAATTTGATAATGACTGCAGATAGTTAGGTCTTATTTACCAATCCATCTTGCTATTCTTAATCTTTTAATTGATGTATTTATACCTTTTACATTCATGTAATTATCAATAAGATAAGGTTGTATGTCTTTTTATTTGTTTGTATTTGTTTTCTCTGTTTCTTGGTCCTGTTTGTCTTTTCCTCTTTTTTTGTTAGGGGATTATTATGAAAGAATTATATTTAGATTTATCTTTAGTGTTTCTGAATGTATCTCTCTGATAGGTTCTCTATCCACAATTTTTACAGTATTTGATCTAGGTATTAATACTACTCTCTACTACTGTTAGCAATTTATACATCAATTTACATATTTACATATGGAAATCTGCTTAAATCCATTTACCCTTCCCACATTGTAAACTAAAATACCTTTAGTATTTCCTGTATGTACATTGAGCATCATTATCAAATGGTGAAATTTTCCCTCAAATATCACACATAGTTGAGCAAACTCATGAGAAGAAACACAGTCTGTTATGGCATATACCATTATTTTTATCAATTACATCATTTTTTTCTCATTCATGAAGTCTCAAAACCTACTGGTATCTTTTCATTTTTATTTACAGAATTCCTTTAGGTATACAAATGGTAACTCTGCTCTGAAGCAGTCTACTAAAGAAGTAAAGGGAAAGCAGGGAAACAGAGGGGAATAACAGAATAATTAAGAGGTGAATATGATCAAAGTCATAATATAATGAAACTCCTTATTATGTACAATTTATGTATACCAATGTAGTAATATAAATTGAATAAAGGTAACTGCTGAAGACAAATTCTCTTAGTCTGCTTTTGTCTGAGAATGCTTTCATTTACACCTTTATTCTTTGAGGCCTCTATGGTCATTGATATAAAACCAACTTCCATTTGATTCTTGTTCTCCGTTAGGTAAGCATAGTTTTATGTTGCTGATTCAAGACATTTTTGCTTCTGGCTATGAGACAGAAAAGGGATGTGAGTTCTTGCCACCCCAATGCATGGACTGCCTCTGGTAACAGAAATTATAGAGGCTGGATATTGATGTCTTTTCTAGATGAGGTCATATCTTATTGAGAAAAGGTTTTGTCTTGCTATGTTGCTGCTTCCTGGCCCTCTGGTTAAAGAGATAGTCTCCTCTTGGTATTTCTTTTTTATTGGATCCTGATGTCACTCCTCAGTATGTTCTTCTCTAGTGCTCCATCCAGGATACAGAGGAGTTCAGAAGAGAAAACGTGCTATATCTTGACTCTTGAAGTTCCTAGACAGACTGATTTTTTTTTCCAAGAATTATAGTTTCTTAAAAAATAATATGTCCATATTTTTAGTTGCTTACTAAACTGAAATAAAGGTAGAATTGTTTTTTGTTCATCTACACCACATAAGAAAGCCAACAATTCTCCATTATATTTTCTGAATTTATAATATATTGATTAGAGACACAATAAATCCAACAATATGTTATATGTAAGAACTTCACACTTTATGACAGGTATCTATCTGCTCAGCATTTGTTTGTTAAGCCAATGTTAACACTCAGACTTTGCAGAGCAAACATATTCATTGTTTTACATGTGTCTTCAGTGAGGTGAAACGATGAACTTAAAAGTGTAACTCCCCACTTATATGTTTGGAATTTCTTCAACCAATCATTTCTATAACCAGAAATCACAAAAGTGCTAATATTGTATAGAGCACTGTATTTGTATTGACTTTGCATTAGCCTGTGCGTTGAATTGGTCTCTCGATAAATTAAATGATGCTTTTCAGATTCTGTGGGAAAATGTGGATCTCCTCCACCTATTGACAATGGAGACATTACTTCATTCCCATTGCCTGAATATGCACAACACTCTTTGGTTGAATATCAATGCCAGTCCTTGTATCAACTTCAGGGAAACAAGAAAATAACATGTAGAAATGGAGAGTGGTCAGAACCACCCAAATGTTTAAGTAAGTACATCAATAAATTCAGGGATCCTGAGAAGATAATTGTAATGATTAGATATTCTACTGTTCATAGAACATTTACAGATTAACCAACAACTGTTTTGCTGAATGCCTGAATAACAAGTATTAATGATTTTAGAATTCTTTTTATTTAAAAGTATTTCACTGACAAAATTACATGTATTCATGTTATAACAAGATTACAATTCTTAAATTACACTTTATTGTTAAATTTGTAGTTAAAATATATTGAAAATATATATTTTCTTTTCTTTATTTATTTTTTTTCTCAGTGGGACAGGAGTTTGAACTCAGGGCCACCTGAATACTAGGCATGCACACTACCACTTCATCCATTCCACCAGCAACTGATTGTCCATACAAATGGAGGGTCACTGTAATAGTTCCATATATACAGACACTATGCACTGATCAAATCCAACCTCTTTTCATCCATCTTTGTCCCATACAAGCCATGCCCAAAGTCTACTCTCTATATTCACATTGACATTTTTTAATCTTCTCTATATGAGAAAGAACACATGAGACTTGTATTTCTATGTCTGGATTATTTCACAATGTCATTTAATTCCACTCTTTTCACTATAAATGACAAGATTTGGGTCTTTTTAATGAGTAGAAAATATTCTGTTATATGAACATACCACATTGTCTCTATTATTTCATTTATTGATGGACATCTAGACTGATGCCATGTCTTAGCTTTTGTGAAGAGTGCTGCAGAAGACATGGTGGTGACGATTATGGTACACCACTTCACTTCTTTGCATACATCCCCAGAAGAGGGACATAATCATATGTGGTAGATATTGTTTTACATTTTTGAGGAATCTCCATATTGTTCTCCATAATAGCAATACTAAGTTATACACTCTCCAACAGAGTATAAGTTCCCTTTTTTCTATGAACTCATGAACACTTGACACTTTTAGAGTTTTTTGTTTGTTTGTTTGTTTTATAATAGCCACCCTGAATGGGTAGTATAATGTCTCTTGTGGTTTTGATTTACAGTTCCACAATGGCTAATGATGCTAAGGAGTTTTCATATATTTTTTGGCTATTTGTATTTCTGCTTTGTAAATTTTTCTACTGAGATTATTTTCCCTATTTTTAGTTGGTTAACTGCCTTTTTGTTACACACTTTGAATTCTTCCTATATTCTAGATATTGACACTGTATTACCTTAGGTAACATGGACATTTTAACAATAATTCTTCCAACCCATGGATATGGGCGAACCCTCCATTTTTTGTCTCTTCAGTTTCCTTCAAGTTTTTGTAATTTTCGTGGTACAGCATTTTCAATCCTTTTGCTGAATTTATTGTTAGATTTGATTTTTGGAACTATTGGGAATGAAATTGCTTTCACTAATTCCCAGCAAACTGGTTATTGCTATCTAGAAAAGCACTGATTATTCTCTGATGATATGATATTTTGCTACTATTCTAATTTTGTTTCCAGTTCTTCTATTTTGATAGGGTTTTCTATACATAGAGTCACATCATCTCCAAACAGGGACAATTTCATTCCCCACTTCCTAATTGCTCTAGAATAATGCTAGTTCAGCTATTCTGTCATTGAACAAGCTTTCTGTGCCCATACCTTTTTTCTCTTTTCCTTTGGGTATATTGAAAATGAAGAAATCTATTTGTTCAGTGGTGCTCCAAAATACTTTAATGCTGTCGTCTCTCTCTTTTCTCTTTACTCTCTCTCTCTCTTTTTCTCTGTGTATGCCTGAGACATTTAAAAATATCTGTTTTCAGGTTCATATATTCTTTCTTGCACTTAATCTAGTGTTGTTGACAGTATCACCTGAATGCTTATTCATCTTGTTGAGCTTTTATTTCCAAAGTTTCTCTTTGATTCTCTTTCAAACTCTATATCTTTCATGAGTTTCTCATTCATAACCTCTACTGTCTTCTTTTACTTGTTTTTCTTTGTTGTCTTGGAAATCATTTACAATTAAAAATCATTCTTTTAAATACCTCAACATTTCATCTACTTCAGTATCTTTGAATTGAGTTACTAGAGAGGTGTCCTAATGTCTTAATTTTTCATGTTCTTGTATTTCTGCATCAACATTCACATATCTGTTGAATCAGTTATCTCTGCCACATTGGTGTAACTTCCTTAGTAAGAAGCTTTCTCCTGAAGATATGTCTTGGAGTGTCAATTTGTTATGCAATGTGAGAGTTGTTTCCAGGTAGGCACCACAGTGTAACCTCTTATGCCTTCTTTGCCTGTAACTAAAGCCTTTGGATACAATGCGTACCACTCTCTCCCTGGTCTCAGGCCCTGGCAGGCCCCCAGTGCTGAAAGACCTGAAATATTTGTCCTCTGACTGGTCATGTGAGTGAGATAAGGTGTTGCATGAGAACAGGTAGGGGTAGGAATGACTGCACCTCTACTGGGACATTCATCCTGAGACTTCACAGTAGTGCATGGTCAGATGTGTTATAGGGAAGTAAGGCAGTAGGAACTGCAATGGTGATGCAATAGCAGGAACTAGACCTTCTCCCTGATGCTTTTGTGTTAGTGTGCCCTCAAGCATCATATGATATCTACAGCATGAGCTTTTTCCCAGTTTCTTCAAGTGGACAATGTATTGATCTGATAATTTATAATTATAAAATTATATTAACAAAATAGCTATACATCAGTCACTATCTATAGTTTCTGCTTTACATGTATATATTGAAATCAATTAGAGTCACTTTGCTGTACATTAAATCTTATACCTCTTGTAACTCAGTTTATATCCTTGAAATGAAAATTCTGAAACAGAAGGCCCTTAACATCACTATTGATCTTATAAATCTTTGATAGTAAAATATTTTTATCCCCCATTAGCACATATTTTGACATCATTTACTTGCATTTTGATCTTTAATTCTATATGACATTTTGGCAGAGTTTGCTTGGAATGGGTTTTGACAAAGAATCCCCAAGGCATTATCAAACATTCTACTTGAATACTTGACACTATATATAGATTTCTGTGCTGCTTAATATTTTATGGTCATTTATCTTTCAGATCCATGTGTAATATCTGAAGAAATTATGGAACGTCATAACATAATGTTCAAGTCAATAGGAAAGCAAAAGCTTTACGTACCATCAGGGACAATGGTTGAGTTTAAGTGCAAACATGGATATGTTCAAGCAACATCTAAACCATTTCATACAACGTGTTATGATGGTAAACTGGAGTTTCCCACGTGCAGAAGTTAGGGCTAAAAGTTTTACTCTAATTAATTTGTGTCCCTTTGTATAGAATTTTTCATTATTAATCCAGGTCTCGATTCTGTTTTCATAAGAAAAGAATTTGTGTTCATATTTAATGATGAATGTAGCATCTGATACACCACAGCCACATTTCAGTAAGCACTGTGTTCAAATTTGGAGAACCAAAATCCTGTGCCCCAGTCTTAAAACCTCTATGACAAGATATTTGATGTAACTATTTAAGTGCTTGTCTGTACCCATCATTCTCCTAAATGTATCTTCACTTTTCACATAGTTTCTGAGCTCCCTGAATTATTTGATTCACAATAAATGAAAAAGCTGTAATTCCCACCTTCAAAATTATGTTACTTCATCAACATGTAAAAAACAAAATTACACCTTACATTAACAATAAATTAATTACTACTTATTACTTCTCTAACAGTAAGTAGATGTATGGACTTCAAAAATACATCAATTTAGCACAGTTAACAATGCAACTAAACATAGAGAGGAATCAAAGTTTAATTCACTATATGATTATACAGTTAACATAACATTGGCATAAAATGATAAAATACAAGATAAGTTATATAACACACACGAATACACACAGACTTAGTTTTCTATATCATTAGGTATTAAAAAATGACAGGCAGAAAATGCAATAAAATTGTAAAAAGCTGTATTTTCATTTACATATAATTTGTCTTTATAGAGTTGTTTAATTCCTTTAGGGAGACAAGCTCCATCTTATAGTAGTCAAACTTATATTTTTTTTTTTTATGATTGTGAAATTGATCACTCATTTTTGTAGTTTGAATTTTTTATATTTTTCTGAGACTATATGTGTTATATTCTTTTGTGTTTTTAATTCATATGTCATACAATGTTGGGTCATTTCTCCCCCTGCCCCCACCCCTCCCTTACCACCACTCCACCTCCCTCTCCCCATCCCCTCGATACCGCAGAACTATTTTGCCCTTATCTCTAATTTTGTTGTAGAGAGAGTATAAGCAATAATAGGAAGGAACAAGGGTTTTGCTAGGTTGAGATAAGGATAGCTATACAGGGCATTGACTCACATTATTTCCTGTGCGTGTGTTACCTTCTAGGTTAATTCTTTTGATCTAACCTTTTCTCTAGTTCCTGGTCCCCTTTCCTATTGGCCTCAGTTGCTTTTAAGGTATCTGCTTTAGTTTCTCTGCGTTAGGGCAACAAATGCTAGCTAGTTTTTTAGGTGTCTTACCTATCCTCACTCCCTTGTGTGCTCTCGCTTTTATCATGTGCTCAAAGTCCAATCCCCTTGTGTGTTTGCCCTTGATCTAATGTCCACATATGAGGGAGAACATACGATTTTTGGTCTTTTGGGCCAGGCTAACCTCACTCAGAATGATGTTCTCCAATTCCATCCATTTACCAGCGAATGATAACATTTCGTTCTTCTTCATGGCTGCATAAAATTCCATTGTGTATAGATACCACATTTTCTTAATCCATTCGTCAGTGTGGGGCATCTTGGCTGTTTCCATAACTTGGCTATTGTGAATAGTGCTCAATAAACATGGGTGTGCAGGTGCCTCTGGAGTAACCTGTGTCACAGTCTTTTGGGTATATCCCCAAGAGTGGTATTGCTGGATCAAATGGTAGATCAATGTTTAGCTTTTTAAGTAGCCTCCAAATTTTTTTCCAGAGTGGTTGTACTAGTTTACATTCCCACCAACAGTGTAAGGGTTCCTTTTTCCCCGCATCCTCGCCAACACCTGTTGTTGTGGTGTTGCTGATGATGGCTATTCTAACAGGGGTGAGGTGGAATCTTAGTGTGGTTTTAATTTGCATTTCCTTTATTGCTAGAGATGGTGAGCATTTTTTCATGTGTTTTTTGGCCATTTGAATTTCTTCTTTTGAGAAAGTTCTGTTTAGTTCACTTGCCCATTTCTTTATTGGTTCATTAGTTTTGGGAGAATTTAGTTTTTTAAGTTCCCTATATATTCTGGTTATCAGTCCTTTGTCTGATGTGTAGCTGGCAAATATTTTCTCCCACTCTGTGGGTGTTCTCTTCAGTTTAGAGACCATTTCTTTTGTGAGCAGAAGCTTTTTAGTTTTATGAGGTCCCATTTATCTATGCTATCTCTTAGTTGCTGTGCTGCTGGGGTTCCATTGAGAAAGTTCTTACCTATACCTACTAACTCCAGAGTATTTCCTACTCTTTTCTGTATCAACTTTAGAGTTTCGGGTCTGATATTAAGATCCTTGATCCATTTTGAGTTAATCTTGGTATAGAGTGATATACATGGATCTAGTTTCAGTTTTTTGCAGACTGCTAACCAGTTTTCCCAGCAGTTTTTGTTGAAGAGGCTGTTATTTCTCCATCGTATATTTTTAGCTCCCTTGTCAAAGACAAGTTGGTTATAGTTGTGTAGCTTCATATCTGGGTCCTCTATTCTGTTCCACTGGTCTTCATGTCTGTTTTTGTGCCAGTACCATGCTGTTTTTATTGTTATTGCTTTGTAATATAGTTTGAAGTCAGGTATCGTGATACCTCCAGCATTGTTCTTTTGACTGAGTATTGCCTTGGCTATTCGTGGCCTCTTGTGTTTCCATATAAATTTAAGTAGATTTTTCAATCTCTTTAATGAATGTCATTGGAATTTTGATGGGAATTGCATTAAACTTGTAGATTACTTTTGGGACGATAGACATTTTTACTATGTTGATTCTACCAATCCATGAGCATGGGAGATCTCTCCACTTTCTATAGTCTTCCTCAATCTCTTTCTTCAGAAGTTATAGTTTTCCTTGTAGAGGTCTTTCACATCTTTGTTAGGTTTACACCTAGGTATTTGATTTTTTTTGAGGCTATTGTAAATGGAATTGTTTTCATATATTCTTTTTCAGTTTGTCATTTTAGTGTATAGAAATGCTAATGATTTTTCTATGTTGATTTTATATCCTGCTACCTTGCTATAGCTATTGATGATGTCTAGAAGCTTCTGAGTAGAGTTTTTTGGGTCTTTAAGGTATAGGATCATGTCGTCTGCAAATAGGGATATTTTGACAGTTTCTTTACCTATTTGTATTCCTTTTATTCCTTCTTCTTGCCTAATTGCTCTGGCTAGGAATTCCAGTACTATGTTGAATAGGAGTGGAGATAGTGGGCATCCTTGTCTGGTTCCTGATTTTAGAGGGAATGGTTTCAGTTTTTCTCTGTTAAGTATAATGCTGGCTGTAGGTTTGTCATATATAGCTTTTATAATGTTGAGGTACTTTCCTTCTATTCCTAGTTTTCTTAGAGCTTTTATCATGAAATGGTGTTGGATCTTATCAAAGGCTTTTTCTGCATCTATTGAGATGATCAAGTGGTTTTTGTCTTTGCTTCTGTAAATGTGGTTTATTACGTTTATTGATTTTCATATGTTGAACCACACCTGCATGCCTGGGATGAGCCCTACTTGGTTGTGGTGAATAATCTTTTTGATTTGTTGTTGAATTTGGTTTGCCATTATTTTATTGAGGATTTTTGCATCAATATTCATTAAGGAGATTGGCCTATAGTTCTCCTTTTTGGAGGTGTCTTTGCCTGGTTTTGGGATAAGTGTAATACTGGCTTCATAAAATGTGTTAGGCAGTTTTCCTTACCTTTTTATTTCATGGAACAGTTTAAGGAAGGTTGGTATCAGTTCTTCTTTAAAGGTCTGATAGAATTCAGCAGACAATCCATCAGGTTCTGGACTTTTCTTTTTGGGGAGACTCTTGATTGCTGCTTCAATTTCATTTTGTGTTATAGGTCTATTCAGGTGATTAATTTCCTCTTGGTTCAGTTTTGGATGATCATATGTATCTAGAAATCTGTCCATTTCTTTAAGATTTTCAAATTTATTTGAATATAGGTTCTCAAGTAGTCTCTGATGATTTCCTGGACTTCCATGGTGTTTGTTTTATCTCCCCTTTTGCATTCCTGATTCTACTAATTTGGGTTTTTTCTCTCCTCATTTTAGTCAGGTTTGCCAGGGGTCTGTCGATCTTGTTTATTTTTTTCAAAGAACCAACTTTTTGTTTCATTAATTCTTTGTATTTTTTTTTGGTTTCTATTTGTTGATTTCAGCTCTTATTTTTATATTTTCTCCTCTATTTGTTTTGGGATTTGCTTGTTCTTGTTTTTCTAGGAGTTTGAGATGTATCATTAGGTCATTGATTTGGGATCTTTCAGTCTTCTTAATATATGCACTCATGGCTATAAACTTTCCTCTCAGGACTGCCTTTGCTGTGTCCCATAGGTTCTGATAGGTTGTGTTTTCATTTTCATTGACTTCCAGGAACTTTTTAATTTCCTCTTTTCATCAATGACCCATTGTTCATTAAGCAATGAGTTATTTAGTTTCCAGCTGTTTGCATGTTTTTTGTCTTTACTTTTGTTATTGAGTTCTAGTTTTGTTGCATTGTGATCAGATAGTATGCACAGTATAATTTCTATTTTCTTATATTTTTTGAGGCTTGCTTTGTGCCCTAGGATGTGATCTTTTATGGAGAAGGTTCTGTGGGCTGCTGAGAAGAATGTGTATTGTGTAGAAGTTGGAGGAAATGTTCTGTAGACATCAAGTAGGTACATTTGATCTATTGTATATTTTAGATCTTGGATTTCTTTAATGATTTTTTGTTTGGATGACCTATCTGTTGATGATATGGGGTATTAAAGTCTCACACAACCACTGTGTTGGAGTTAATATATGCTTTTAGGTCTTTCAGGATATGTTTAATGAAATTGGGTGCGTTGACATTGGGTGCATATAGGTTATATTTTATTTCCTTTTGGTCTATTTCCCCTTTTATTAGTATGGAATGTCCTTCTTTATCTCATTTGATCAATGTAGGTTTGAAGTCTACCTTGTCAGAGATAAGTATTGCTACTCCTGCCTGTTTTCAGGGGCCATTGGCTTGGCAAATCTTCTTCCAGCCTTTCATCCTAAACCTATGCTTATTTCTGTCCATGAGATGGGTCTCCTGTA